GAGACTCTGTCCTAAAAAAAAAAAAAAAAAATTCCTGATGTTGTTTCTACTCTTTACTGCTTCCCGTATGACAAATAGAAAATATTCATCAGGAAATAATGTACTTTCAGGTTAGTGATATAGCTCAGAAATTAAAGAAGCAAGCTGTTATCATTTCCTTTAAACTAATGTCATCCCGTTAATGTGGGCTACTGAGTAACTATATAGCAGAAGTGAAATTAAATATATACCTTCTCCTTGTGTTCCAATGAAATAGCTGCCAACTCCCTGAGAATAGTTATGTAACATGGATGTGACTGGTTCTGATAACACAATATTCTGTTTCTCAGCTCAGTGGCCTTTATATCATTGTGCTTTAACCAAAGCCAACTTTTTCTATTCTGTCTGAGTTTAACTAGTTTTCAGTGTAATCCTTTCTGCTGAATCCTCAAAAGACAATTCAAATAATCTATATCACCATATTCCTAATAAGCAAGAGCACCTTGCTTTCTCAGTGAGGCTCTTTAGGCTTAGATACATGACAGCTATCCCCTCAAAAAAAAAAAAAAAAAAATGATGATAAGACCTAGACTTAGCTCTAAGGATTATTTAAAATACTAAAATATAGAACAGTCCTTATCACAACTTTGAGAAAATGTTTGTAGAAGAACATTCAGCAGATTATTCCCTGTTGAGATTTATACCATACTTTTTCAGCAACATAATCCCCTTAGGTGGTGTTTACTTTTTCAGTGACTGTAGAGGTGTTTGTATGTTAAAAGACATGACCCCAAAAGGATTCTCTCTCCCAGATCAGCTACTACTGAACTATCATAGATTAGACTGTGGAAAAATTTACATCTACTAATATCTTGCTTCCCTAGCATGCATTCCTGAGATTTTTAAGATGTGTTCTTTCTCAAAAAGCATTAAAATTATAAACAGAATATGAATTAGTCTTTTGCAGGTCAGGTCAAACATGTTAGAAATGTTCTCAAGAAATCTCCAAAATTTATTTGTGCAGCATATATAATAACAGCAATTAAACTTTACTGGAGAAAGAAAGAGAGGATAAGCTCAGCAAAATCCAGGTCATTTTTATGTAATGTCTTGCCATCTAAAATTTAGAAACTTAAAAAGAGGCAGTGTGGTAGCCATTTGACAGTATTTCTCCCATCCACACTGAAGAGGTCAATGTCCAATTCACTGGACAATGTGACAGAAAGAGTCACCCTGGAACATCTGACTCAGAGCATTGGAAATGTTCAAATAGTTATGATGAAGTCACTGCCCTTCTTTGTGTCCTTAGCCGCTTGGTCAATTTGCTTGCTTCACCTCCAAAGACAAGAGATTATTTTTTGTTTCAAAAGAGCTGTGAAAAGTACAAGAAAGTTCGGAAGTTTCCAGGTTAGTAGTTTACTATTGCATATGAGCACTAAGCATTTGAAAGCAGACTAGGATAACCATGTTATTTCAGGTTTTTAAATTATTTTTAATTTTTTTTAGGTTAATACACAAGTATCCGGCCAGATAAAATTTCGTGAATTGGGTAA